CAGGTTGAGAACCACTGCCTTAGGATGTCACTATAGGCCCAAAACTAGACACAAAGAGGTTTTTACCCCATTCCATCACTCTTGCTAAACACCTAATTCCCACAGCACTGTCTTATGCCTAGAGATATTTACCCATGTAGTAGGGCTGTGTTGCTATTAGCCTTCTCATCTTTCCTATTACCTTCTCCTATTGGTATCCTGTGATTTATCACTTCTTTGGTTGTATCGTGATTTAAGATTGTAACTTATGATTTATCACATTGTTGCTTGTATGTACGCTGAGAGCTTATGCACCAAAGACAAATTCTTGGTGTGTCCAATCACACTTGGCCAATAAAAAATATTCCACATATTCTATATCACAGGAGTTCTCCAATTTTGAGTTATTGAGTTATCACAATGGCTGCTGTAGATTTGTTCAAGTAAAGCAGGGAGCAAGACCAGAACTGAGAATTCTGTGTTTCTGCCTTGCCTGTGCACGCTTATGTTGGCCAGTGAAAACACTCTCAAAACATGCTCCCATTTGTGCAAATTCCAGTGCAAATCCTAGGATGCTTATTCCAACTTTGCTTGGGCAGGCACCTAATCGGGTTTAAAGAAAACACAATTCTTTTGTAAGTTGCCCACAACTTTGTCCAGGTACTTGAGACCTCTTGATCTAAGTCTTTATCTGTTGTTAATAGGTTTCCTCCCCCTTCTATCTGAACATTAGCAACTGGAACAAATTAAAAGTACAAAGTATAAAAACCCACATCAAATTAAAGCATTTATTTCGCTAGCTTTCCTGAGAATGCAAGCTGCCCAGAATTTGATTTAAGGTGGACTGCTACACAAATGTTTTAAATGGATAACTGACTGACAGAATCAATCAACCGATCCAGCAAAATATCATCTGTAAATATCAGATTCTCTGATAATCCTTTATAATCTCTTGGGTAGTAATTTTAGTTGAATAATTGCAATAACCTACCAATGTTCATCAAAAAATTTGCTCCTTCAGACAGTTGTCTGAATTTAATGTTATGTAGCGTCTGTACTTCTCTGTGATTTTGAGTTAAAACAAATGTCTTGAAATCCCTAATACATGCATACATGTTATCTACTTTTAAATTAATATAATTAATTAGTCAATTTTGTAGGATCCCAAGCAAAGGAACTCTTCTGTAGATTTTGCAAAAAATACACAGCTGTTTCTCCATAAGATATTCTTTGTTATATTTCTTTTCCAGCGATGATAAAAAGAATTCACATTATTTTATATTAGTTTTTAATGTATTAAGTGCTCAGAGTTATGAGAATGAGATAGGTAATCATCACAGTTATATAAACAAACAACCATTTACAAATGAGCTCATCTGGTTTTAATTTTAACAAGTGTCTGGAGTGTCTAACTGTTTCTGAAATGTACAGCTTTTAAAATATTTAATAGACAAGGAGAGTCTACAATAAAAAGCTGAAATTTTAAATATGGTATCAGTCCAGTGATCTGCGGGACTATTACGTATCTCTATATTTTTTCATCTGCATAAATTCAGAATGTTCCAGGCTCAGGCTACTGATCTCACCCTATTTAGACATCTGATCTTTGGCAGATCTCAAATGTACCTCAGGTCTTAATTCTTTTTCTGAAACCAAGCTGGCTCTAACACTTAAAAGTTGAATAATGTCTATTATATTTAGCCATGGAAAAAGGAGAGTTCCAAATATCCAGTAATAAAATAGTTTAATAAAGCGTTAATAATACTTTCTAATGAAAATATATTGGTTTATACTTTCTGTCTTTGACCGATTTCTAGATTTATGTTGCTATTCTCATCTGACATTAGAGAAAACCTGGTATCTTTCAGCTTCAGAAAGATGGTAACTGCTGGTTAAAACTTTAAACTGAAGAGAGACTTAGAGATTCATCAACTTGATAGTAAGCTTCACTTTTTAACTTTGGGCCTATTAGGGATCTTGCAGTCCACTGGATTTCTCAATGCCTTTGACAATGGCAAAGTTTCTGATATACTTGAAAAGTTTGGATATATTCAGAGATGTATCCACCTTGAAAATAGCCCATGTTGAACTGGATAGGCCAGTCAAACATTAGCATAGGGCATGTTGTGTGACATTTTGTATTATGTCATAAACTGTTTTATGATAATTTTTATGTCATAAAATATTTTATAAAATTTGCTAAATTTCAATTCCACGGGAGTTGTGAGTCCCAGGTTTTGAATCCATTCTGTAATAGTCCATTTGAGGTACCCTGTTTCAAAAATTGTTGGCCGTACCGCTTTGCTCAGTTAAAGGTTATGGGAACAAGAGTATAGAGATATTCAATGATATTTATAGAAAAGCATGAAGAATCTATAGGCAGTTATATCAACAAAAACAGTTTTGAAATTTTGGTCAGATTTTGCAGTAAGAAAAGTAGAGAGTCTGATTTTGGAACAAACTGATATTCTCAAATATCATGTCATACATGATAAATATGCATCAATATGATAAATCTTCAGAGTCAGTTAAACCTACAATACAATGGAAACTAATTGAATAGAAGAATAAAATACAAATGGTGAGAGTCAGGAAGAGATAACATAAAGGAAGTAAGATAAACATATAGGCAAATATGTTTGGGTCTGAGAAAGGAAGAAGAGAAGCCATAAAAATATATATAGTTTTTAAAAGGAAATGGCTAGCCAGGAAAGACAGGTTGAATGGGAAAATAGGAAACTAAGCCGAATGAGAGGAAAGGCATACTGAATTGAAAAGCAGGAAAAGAACTTATTGTTTAAAATGGGGACATAAATATATACTGAGTTTAAAATAACCATTTAAATGTCTAATTTTTCTTATTCTTATTGTATATGTGAATATGATTTAATATGTTATCAGGAAATATGTATAAGCAGACAGAAAGAGTGTAACCTCATAGTACCTCAGCCAATGGGAAAAGAGGAGGGCTGTAGTGGCCGGTGATAGGGATGAATAAAAGAAGGAGGTATTTTGGGTTAAAACTTTGGAGAGAACCAAGCTTTGATAGCTTCTCTCCCAGCTTATTGCAATAAACAAAACAAAAGGCCTTCACTGTGTCTTGGCTGGTTATTGGTCAGGCGAGCTTGCCTCTGGTCACAAAGGAAAGTGGCCAGGAGCACATAACATACAGTACTGTTGCTCTGAGAGTAAAATGGAGGGACAACTTGATCTTTGGAAGAAAGATAGAGTATAAATGTAATAGATAACTGATGAAATATATAGAGAAAAGGGAAGAGATGTTGCTTTTTCTTCTTGTCAAACTTGTGTCTTATTAAAAGCTCTTCTGGCAAAATGTTAAAAGTGCAAAACAAAAATAGAAAAAAAATCACAAAACTTATTGAAATATTAAATTATTTGTGAAAAAATATACAGTTTAATCTAATTAACAGTTTCATGTATTCAAGTTATATTAGTATAAACTTTGTATGTAGAGAAAAATAAAGTCTTTTTAGGAATGCATACTCTGCAGTTTTCTCTAAACTAAAAAACTGCTTTATTTGAATGAAAGAGAAATAAAGTATATCTGTTTTATAAATCAGAATCTATTTTAATAATACTAAGCTCTAACATAATTTAGTACCGACAGCTGTGATACAGTGCATTTTATTTTAAAAAAACCCTCAATTGGTGATTTTAAAATTCCTTTCCCATCATTTGATTAATAGTGAAAAGTGACTGGCCATTTTAAATGTACTTTATCTTAGATTTTAATACATATATTTGTTTATGCGGCTTATCTGCGTTTTTAGTCAGCAGGAAAAGAAACAAGAAACTTTTTCCTGCTTCACAAAAGCCCCATTTCGCCGCCACTTCGATTTGTGTTACAAATCCCGTGGTAGAAATAAACGCACCTGCCGCTGGAGGGCGCCCCAAGAACCGCTCAAGCCACCTCAGGGTTGAATGTACAGTATAGTAGAGCAGTTAGCAGAGCTTTTGAACTGTTTTGGAGCACGAGGGAGAGTCTGTCGCAAACGCGAAGGTTTTTCGGGAAAAAAAAGTTTCTCTTCTTTCCGCTGCATAACAAGCTCGGCAGATTGTTTTCCCGCATGTTCCCTCATTCAGAGGTACGGTAAATTTGTAGCTTCGGAGCTGCCCGAAAATAATTAAAAGTCGCCTCTTATTTCTGTCCCCCTCCCCTCCCAGATTGGTCTTCTTGTCCTTCTTTGCCGAGGCAGCTAGTTTTGTTTTTTTTTTTTAAACCCGAATCGGACAGATGGAAATATCAATTCTGGATATTCAATGCGAAAAGTCGGCTGGTTTCAAACACTCCCTCCCCACGGGTCTCCCTTCAAATCACTGGAAAAGCCTCCCACTCCCACGCAGGAGATGATAATTTCCTTCCAATCTTATGGTAAACATTTATTTAGAATTTAACCCATCTGACCATTTGAGTCGTGGAACCACTACATTCTGTGTTCACACAGACTTTTTCAAAGGCCGCAGAAGCGAAACCAACCCTGCCTCTTCGCGCGCACTCACGTGCAAGTAAGAACGTGTGCATGCGCCCCTTTCGCCCGCAAGGCCGGGATCGGAGGTCCGCATTGCCAGCCTACGGATCTCTCTGCGAGGAAAGATCTCGGCTTCGCTTAAGAGATTCCCAACAGGAAGCGCGGGGGCGCGCGCGGCCGACGGCGGGGCGCTGACTCGATGCGAGGTCCGCGCGCGGAGCGGGCGAGGGTCTATTTTCTCCCACTCCCCCGCCTCCTGCCGCCTGAATGATGTCATGGAGAGGCAGCCGGCGGGGGGAGGCGCTGCAGGTTCATGTGTACATAATGAAAAGGCGTTTGACAATCTGCCAAAACGCACGGGAGGGAGAAACCGAGCCTCCTGGATTTCGTAAATCGAGTCGTCATCATCTGCAACTACGGGAGGAAAGAGGGGGAGCGGCGGCGGCTCGCGACTCGGCTGCTGCCTCAATGTGAAACCCCAAGCAAAAAATAAAGGGGGGAAAAGGGGAGGGTGGGGTGGTTGGGGGGCAAGTCCAGGGAGAAAGGGCTGTTTCAAGAGCAACAGTTCCCAGCGCCCCGTAAAATACGACCCCCGCCTCCTCTGGTGCATTGCTTTCCCAGTCTCTCGCGCGCTGGCTCTTCGGTGGGATTAGAAGCTTCTTGGCAGCGGCAGCAGCCATGAATTCAGCTGAGCAAACCGTTACATGGCTGATCACCCTGGGGGTGCTGGAGTCGCCCAAAAAAAGCATCTCCGACCCGGAGGGGTTTTTGCAGGCATCTCTGAAAGACGGGGTGGTTCTTTGCAGACTGCTGGATCGCCTGCTACCGGGTACCATAGATAAAGTAAGTGTCTTAATATTCTTATATTTCCCATTAAATCTCTCTCTCTCCCCCCGCCGCCTACGCCGGCCCGGCCCCTTAAGAGAATCGGGTTTTACTTGGGCTTCACCGCCAGGGCGTCGCATAACGCAAGGAACGCACCAAACTGTCCTTCCAGCATGTGCGGGTCTTGCAACCATTGCACCCTAAAACCCTGCGCGGTGGGCTGCATAATGCGAGGCTAACAGCTCCTTTGCGATTCCCTCGGATTATCGGGGCAGAGATACCGAGAGGCTCGGGCAGATTAAAAAAAAAAAAAAAGCGCGCATGACACGCCTGGATTCAATCCGTCAGGCTCCTTCTCTTCTGGATACGTCGGAAAGTGAGCAGAGTCCGGGACTCGCTTAGATCCACGCACTTTCCTTTGTCCAGGGTCTCCCCCCCCCCAACACAGCCTTTCCCCACCCTTGGAAAGGCAGGAAGCGTGTGGCCTTTTTCCGTGGGAAGGCTCTTGCGCGGACACATCCTTCCTGTCTAGCTGCAGAGGCTCCATTGTCAAGCTTGAAGGAGTGGATGAAAACTGAGGAGTGGGTGGGGAGGTGGGCCCAATTGGGAGCAGAGTTTGAAATATACGGTAGTAAGGCAGCTACACTTTTAGCTTTTCGGCCTTCAGGTAGAAGTGCTCTAGGCTTCCTCTCTTCAAATCGTACCATAAAGGACAAAACGCATTAAGCCATCGATCACCCTCGAGAATGATCATCTATGTGTAATTGTGTGTGTGTGTGTGTGTGTGCAGGAAAGACTATTTTAAAAAGATGAAAGTCTAGAAGAAAGGTTTATTTTTTCATGAAATATTTAGATTCGAAGATGTTTTTTGTGAATGCATTATGTATCTTCTTAACTATTTTAGTGAAAAGTAAGATTGCTTTGGTTTGATAGACATGAAGGCATATTTAATTTTACTTTGAGATTATTTTCTGTAGATACCATAAATACAGACCATAATTTTGTACTGAGACTGTATGTGTGATAGTGCAGGGTTTTTATGTTCTGCTGGCTGAGCCTTTGAAGCATTTGTATGTGTGTTTGTGTGTGTGAGTGAGTGTATACACAGAGAGAATATAGAAATTCCAAGACTCTTATACAAACCTTACACACAGATGTTCGATTTTAAGTGCACTTCAACATGCAATGTAGGTTTCTATTTTTAGGGGAAAATGAGAAAAATTGCCTAATTTCAATTCTGCCATGACACTCCCATTCCTAGTGCTTAAATATGTTCTTCTTAGTGAGAAATTTCTTAAGGTGCCCACATTGCAAAATGACGACCTAGTTAGCAAGGCAGCTCCTGTGATTTATTGTGTTATTTTAAAGTCTAAGTTTAGTATCTTGATATTCAGATGGAGTACTGTGTGATGTGAAAAACCAAGGACATTGTTTTTTTAAATTTTTTATTGGGGGTGTAAAAATTATTTTTAAAACCCTTTCCTTCCTCAAATTCTTGTTTATTCAAGCATTTTCAAACATTAGTTTGAAATAAGAAGGTTCCGTTTATTCTGCAAGAGAGAAGGATATATTTATTCCATATGTATAAAAATGTACTTAAATCAACAGATTGCACTTTTGTTTCTCTGCCTCCTAGGAACCAGATTTTAGGGAGGAAGGAAGGGGCAATAGGGCTACACATTGATTGTTCCCCCCTCAGTATGTACTGTACAATGCACTTTGACCTAGATCAGTGGTTCTCAACCTGTGGGTCGGGACCCCATTTGGGGTCGAACGACCATTTCACAGGGGTCGCCAAACAACGCAGTCCGCCATTTTTTCCCCCTTTTCCTTAGCTGTGCTACTCCCTTTTATTCTATTGGTTCTTGAAAGCCAATAGAATGGACTCTCTTGAATAGAGTCTAATTCTATTGGCTTTCAAAAGCCAATAGGAATTGTCCAGGCTGTCTCTGCCCTGCTGAGCCCGCCAAAAGTCCCATTCTGCAAATGGTGCTGCACCAGTTAAGTAGTCCTTGACTTACAACCGGTTGAGTAGTCTTTGACTTAAGACTGGTTGGGGGTTGCGGCATTAAAAAGGTTGAGAACCACTGACCTAGATATTGACTGAAGTTGCACTTTTATTCTAATTAAGGAGAGCTAAATGAGAATGGGTAACTGAGCATTTCCATGTTTCGAAGAAATCGCAATAGCTGTGAATTAACCATGAGGAGCTGGGAAAAGTACATATACTGTTTAATGAAAAGATTATACTGGCCAGAAATTTGGTGCTCTTTTAAAGCAATCAGATTAGATGCATAGTAATGGCCACTAGAGGGTGAATTTGCTATGGAAGGCGGCTTCTAGTTACATCCTGAGAGGTTATGAATTTGAATTTTGATTTTTTTTTTACTTTTTCACTCTGAACAATAACCTTCATGAAGCCTGGGAGATAGAAAAGTCCCTTGCATTTTTAAATTCTTTCCTTAGAGATTTACAGATCTTGCTTTAATAAAGAACACAGACTACTTCTCATAAACCTTGAGTCCCCTACAGGAATTTATAATTTAAATAAGTTTATCAGTGATCATCCTGAGGAGTTCTGAATATATCACAGAATCACAAGATTGGAAGTCTTCTAATCCAAACCACTCCCTAGGGCAGGAATCCTCAGACCATGGTGGACAAATGGCCTCCCCATCTTTGCCTGAAAGCTTTCAGTGGCCCTCACAGCTCCAGGAGGGAGGCTTTTCCATGGCTGAATAGCTTGCATGGTCAGGAAATATCTCCTTATATCTAGATCTTCCTTAAAATCTCTGCCCTTTGCTTCTTACCTGTAAGAGCAATAGTGGAAAGAAAACCACACCCACTTTCCTGCATCAGCCTGGATATGTATGATTTGGTACAGTATTGTGTGGGTCCAGCTATTGTATTTTTAAAAAATATGCCTTATGGGTTTGTGTATTTAGTGAAGCCAATCAAAAGTGATCTATTCAACAAACCATGATTTAAGTACACCATGCCTCAATATAATCTGTGGACCATTGTGAAATATAAATCAAATAGATCTAGCCCAAAGGTTTTGGTGGAAGCTGCCTAAGTCTTATGAACGCATATTCAACTTTTTGAAATCCAAATTATGCTTACAGTAACCTTGCCACACATCTTGCAAATAAGTCTTTTTTAAGGCTAGGATGTGTTGGTGGACTGACCAGACCTAAAGTCTAATGAAAGAATGATTGATACTCAGTAATTGTTGAATGTCCTGGCGTTCTTTGAAATTAACAGTATTAAGGAGTAGAGAGAAAATAAGGGAGTAAGCCAGTAGAGTAGTGGAATTTGAAATTTGTGTGTCATTGTCACTAAGGAAGAAGTTTGGAATGGAAACTGAAGGCACTCTGAAAGAATGGCTATCTGCAGTGTGCTTACTCATCATTAATTTGGATAATGTAAGAGTGCAGTTTAGAAAAGAAAATCCTAAAAGGTTTATGTGTGATTTAAAATAGCATGGGATTCTGTTATTATCTAACAGCTTTAAAGAAAACAATTCTGCTGCATTCTAATGTCGGCAACTATACTGAGCTGTGGGCAAAACTGGAAAGCTAATGTTAGAGGATTTGGGGGGAAAAAAGAGTTGTGAAAAAAAGAGGGAAGTGAAAATGCTGCATGTATAGGTAGAAGGTTCATTGGTGTTTTAGCTTACTAATTTAAATATATGATTGACCAAATTGTTCATTGTGATATTAACATTCTCAGATAGGAGAGTGTTCCATCAGACTTTCTGATTTTTCACTTGCTGCTTTAACTTCATGACTTAATTTTGGAAGATTTATACCATTTCAATATCAGTCTAAATTTTTGGATGAATGATTTGTATCAACACACATTCATTTTTAAAATTAATATGACCAATAATACTGCATCAATGAAAAGCAAATGTACTGAACTGACTCTTTGAGATATATCTAAGCTTGGTGAAATATTAGGCATACAAAATAGTAGAGATTTTAATGACCATCAAACACACACATTTCATTTTAGGGTTCATTACACACCCTTCCTGCTAATGCTAAGATGGCTTGCTTACCAATTATGTAGGACATGTCCTCAGAGCCTTCCTGTTGGTACCATCCAAAAAAACATTGTTTTTCATTGGAAAATGGAATAGTTTCTTCTTTATGAAGATATTCTGTCACCTGGAGGAGGAACCTGGGGGAGGTCCAGCTGACCTTCCCATCCAACCAGCTTCTGTGAACATTTCTCCTTTGATTGATAAAAAGATTTGATCTTCCCCAGCAATAAATGTCTTATATAGGAGCAAAGAAATACCGTAGTAACCTTGTGGGAACCTTGGAAGTTACTGATATGGACAGTTTGCTTTCATGATATCAGAATCTTCAATACTAGATGATTCCAGATGAGAAGTGTCCACAAAATCCAGAGCTTTCATTAGAATGACAAAGTATTGTTGTGAAGTAAGCTCTACCCCTTTTGTACATTGATATGTGTGATGACTCCCCGGATGCTTCCCCAGATACCTCTCTAGATGTCAGCTCTGGGAACCAGTTTCTGGCATGTCAGGAGGGAAGTTGATTGATGACTCTGAGCAGCTGTCTATGAGGGGTTTGGCTGAATCTCTCAGAGTGAACAAAGAACTCTATTTCGGTTTTTTATAATGGTATGTTGGTAGAGGTACCAAAACTTGATCAGATGACTGCAGCAGAACAGTCCTGAGATTCCAGGTAAGAAAAACATGCAGCTGCAACCGGTCAGTGATGATGAAAAGGAACTGCCTTCTGCACCTGATCCAAGAAAACGTAGAGCAGAGAAAAGGCAGGAGCAGAGAAGATCAGCCAGATTACTCGAGAAGAGAAAGCGTTGCCCTTCTTGATGGGCTGCACTGGTAGCTGGATATTTTGCACAGCAGACAGATGGAGGCGATGCAGGGAACAACATGTTCATTTCCTAGCTGTGTGTTTTCTGGTTGTTGTGATTCCTGCCTTGCTTTGGATTGACATTGTGCCTTGACTTGGATTGTGCCC